TATCGCGATATATATTGATATCGAATTATTGTCCAGCCCTACATACCTGTAGTGACTAAGCCACCCATAGAGTACAATGATAATGAAATAAAAACAGTTCAATTCAAAGGGCTTTATTGGCATCAAGTTTTCAAGAACAATATTGCCAAAACGTCAAAGTACAGTTTTTCAGGTCCCAGTTTTTTTTCCCTTCAGATTGTGCTTTGTTAGACTTTTGATTCCAAAACAATGTTGTGTGGCTCGAGAATGTGATTAGATAGATAGATCCACAAACAGCATCTACTGTTTGAAATAAATGCATTCAACCAGACTTTTCCAGCAAGTGTTTCAATTCACCCTGCCCATGGTAACACTTCACTTCTGTCACTTTCCATACAATTATACAAGAATGGTATGTCCTAGAAAGAAACTTCAAGTGTTCCTTGCAGCAGAGAAGTGTATGTTGCTTGTATACAATATGATTAATCTACAGTAACTCAAATATTTTCTAAATCATTAAGCCAAAACCAAAGAGTGTTAGGTTCTGCCCGGCAATCCATTAACACATGATGCAAGATTCCGAAGTCTTTGGATGCTATGCTATCACACAAAGCGACAGGAGCTACAACGAAGAATGATGCTTGCCCAGAAACGTTTTTGTTAAGATGGCAGATGATGAAGCAAACATTACCCAATGACATAAGTCGACTCAAATATGTATATTTTCTGTTCATAGTTTTAACAGTTTTTTGGGTGGTCAAGTGACATCACTGGTAAACATCCAGGTCGTGTGTAATATGCAGGACGGTGACCAACATTTATCAAAATGCATCCACACTGTTCTTGTGCATAAATACAGTACATACTGAATTAATCGTCAAGCATCTGGCTTCTGAAGAAATTCTGTACCTGTTGTGTAAGTATGTGATTTCGGGTGCACCCGTGTTTTGCCTGGGAGGTGTACACTGGCGTCCTGCCTCTTCCGGAACTGTCCTGCAAATTGATAGCTCCCTGACACCTACAAATGATGCACAATGCCTTGGAAATCTGTCATTCTGCTATTCAGCGGAAGCACAATTATCCAGCAAGAAATTTTATTGCCGTAAGCCCAGTCAGCACTAGGCTTGGGCAGTATGTAATTCTTAATACTGTCATACCATCCGGACATTATGTACCACAGTATTTTGGTGGTATTTTAAAAAGCAACGGTATTGTGGAATTTCCTGATAATGAAAATACCGTGGTACTACAGTAATACTGCCAAAGCCTAGGCAACACACACCCCCTCCTCAAGAATATATATTTTACACTATTTTCAAAAAAGACATTTTTTTTCAAATTCACTATTCAAACATCTTTAGCATATTCAACTATCACAATACTGTCCAATGTTAACCAATACTTATGCAAACAACAAAAGTGTGCAAATTAATGTAAACTCATGTTAAATTCAAGTATGGAAACGAATCACATGCCCTTTCTACAACAACGCAGTGGGCAAGGAATATTTTGATTGATTTCTACTAAGAAATAAATAGTTTAAATAAATAGATACAACATAAATAAAATAGACATTTAAAAATAACTTTGACTTTATAAACATTCATACCCAGAAAAAAAATGTACAAAATTGTACATTTAGGAATGTACTTTAGAATTATTGGACTCAAATAAATATTAAACAAATAAATAAATAAGTTAATTGGACTTGTTTGTTTCCAAACGATTGTTCGTTTTGTTTGGCTGCTAAAGCTCAGAAGCTCGTTCTTCCAGTATGACAGTCTGTTTTAAGTCTCTTTGTGCAGACTGTGCTGTACTGGAGTTGATTGTGGTTAGTCTGCCATTATTCAAATCTGGAACATGAAAGGACACCATGGGACACGGCGCCTTGACGTTGCGACAAACAAGCTTCTGCAGAGAAGCCGTGTTGATTATTTCGAACCCGACTTTTCCCCCGAAGGTGCTTGGCTTCCAGTACTCTGGAGAGCATATGGCATTTCCCAAGAGGCCTTTTAACGAATACGGGGCCCCCATTTCTACCATGGTCTCTCCGAAGATGGCGCTGGGCCTTGGTTTCTCCACCAGCAGACCAGGATACAGCTCCATAGCATCAATATGCCCATACAATTCTTCCAGCTCAGATGCCATCGTTTTATCTCCTGAAAGAATATTGAAAAAATGATGCTGGTGGCACGGTTTCAAAGAAAAAAGGCAGAAGAAACGATCTATATCAATATGTCAAAGTGCGTTACAATACTTTATAATAAATTAATATTTGTTGTATTTACATTTCAGTGTAAATGTCACCATATTCATCTACTGACATGGCAACACAGGACTGAACCAAAGTTAACTTGTGCTTCTCACCAGTCAGTTCTTCAAAGGAAGTGTAGGGCGTCATGGAGAAGCGTTTCCTGTAGGCATTCAGAGACTGGTAACGCAATGCTCGGCTGTGTTCCAGTGACTTTGTGGCAACCATCGCCACGGCTGCAGGTACATTCTGGCCGCCAGCAACCTATTGGCAGAGCAAAGTGATACAGATGAGGATTTCATAGTAGAGTACCTCAGTCCAATGAACTTTGCATTTCTTACAGGTACTCACCCTGCCTGCAATTTGCTTGGTAAAGGATTCCACAAGGTTATTGATGCCATGCTCTAAGACAATAGAATTGTTGAAGAGGAACTGCTGGTAGCTGTAGACCTGACCGTGAATGTTGAATGCATCAGGCATGAGGGGGTGCCAATGGTAGAGCATGTTGAACTCAGCAGAGATACGATTCTGGTACTGGAAGCGCTGATTGAATAGCAGCTCGGGGTCAAATTTCAGCTTGAAGTGGTAACCACTCAGGTGCTGCACATAATCCTCAATCACAATCTTGATGGTCTCACCTGCAAACAGTGGGTAACTTGATAAGGTCCATTATTTAACCTCTACCATTACTCATATGCTGGTCTTTTGACAAAACCAGGGGTTGCAGATTCCCCCCTCCCCAAGTGATGCCATCAGTGATGCAAGGGGGCACTCACCAATCAGAATAAGTCGGGCAGTCTGGAAGATGCGCTCATCATCCCAGTTGGAGTGCTCGTGCTTCAACACATCGCAAACCCGATTGTGCTCCCTTAGCCAGATGGTAGCATACATCATTAGCCCAGGAACCAGCCCAAACGCTTCATGTCCCACTGCAAACTGGTGCTCCTTTGGGACATGGGGTGGGTAATGCATTTCGACTTGCACCTCCGTAACCAATGGAGGATACACCTCCCCATCAATCACCTGCAGATACAGGTGTCAGATTAACACTCACATTTCCTTAGACATCAGTCATGAGCAGAAATTATGGTAGGAAAAGAAAATGTCAAACTACAAGTGGCTGAAGTTATTTGTAAATTTTAATACATTAATTGATTATTTCAAATTTAAATACCTGATACTTGAGCTTTCCATCTTTGAAAAGTCTAAGTTTGTGCTGCTTTTCCAGTGTATCTCCATAAATGTGATTTAAATCCACCTGATCAAAGAATAAGAAAAAATAACTATTTATCTTTATTTTACAGTTTGACGGGCAAATATAATGCAGGTTATGAGCGCTTACTCCATGGCCCAGAGCCTTGGTGAAAGCTGGTCCATTCTTCATGTCGGATTTGAAGAACTGATGGGTGAAATGCTGAGCAAAAAAACCAAACATCAGACTCGTGCCCTGGGGGTCTGGGATGAACTTTTTCCTCAAAAGAAACTTCTCCACCACCAGTTTTGCATCAGGCAGGGCTTTCTTTCCTGCCAAAATAAAACATTTCAGTTTAGAGAGATATGCAAAAATACAACCATTAACACAGATGCAGATGTGGCACTGTCTGTAAGTGCCACAAAAATATTTTATATATTTTCATTCATTCAGAACTGCGCATTTCAGGAGATGAAAATGCTTTCATTGTGAAGGTTAAACTCTGAAACTGACCACCTAAAAATGCAAATGGAACACATAAGCAGTTTGCCAAAAAGCGACGGGCCTCAAATGTCTTCTTGAAATATGTCACCATATGTCATGATGTCACCAGGATATTCTTAGCAAGTTCAAAAGAATCTAAAAGAACTGGTTTACTACGCACTCACCTGCAACTCCCATTGGTGTTGGGCAATCCAGAGGTACCGGAGGAAGAGTTCGGGCGTAATACGAGAGATTAGAATAAACTTCCCAGCTTTTATAGCCATAGTCGGAGTTGAAGGTTGGAGGACTGTCGATAAAATGCGACCGGGCTGTACGTGGGAAAAAGTAATGGGACTGCGTCAAACAGGCTCGTGCATGTTAGTATCTACGTTCGTTTGTAATTTGTATTCCGCGACTTTTACCACATTATAGTTCGTACGTAGGCCTACGTGCCGAACATCTTCAATACAACGGGTGATAAATGACAGGATATGGCTGAATACACTGAATGTACTTACATGTCAACACATAACGCATAACCGTGTCCCGTAAATATGGGATGTTGTTGAGAATATTCCAGAATCCTTTGAAATGTGATAAAATGTAATGCACGGTGTTCGGGGTCGGTTTAATGGTCGTTCTGATCCATGTGAAGAATTCCGCTGTTAGAAAGATAAAGCAGAGTTATTAGGTAAAGCAATAAAAGAACACCACACAGTTTATAGTATATGCATTAATAACAACCTGATGATTTAATACATTATACTGTCGCCACTTACGGGTGGTGCAGTTCTCGCCGTAGTATCCCGTCCTCGTGCAGTCGCACTCATATCCGTCTTCTCCCATTGACGTGCACACGCCGCGATTTTGGCAAGGTTGCGAACAGCATGCGTCGCCTAAAACAATTAAAAACAATCACCTGCATATTTGAAATTAAATGAAAAAAAGAAAAATATACACATCCAACGAGAACCTGTACAAATTAAATGATCTTAAATCAGCTGAATAAGATTATATTGACCATACATTACATTCCTAACCCTCTTGCGTTCCTGAGACGATATACTTAAACATATTTAACTTTAAGCACGTTTATTTAATCATATGCACGGTTGTGTCTATTCACAGTAACTGTGTAAATTACAGTCGCGGGTAATTTATAATAAATAGTCCAGACTGAACTCTTAAGTATTCGCTATAAGTAATTAGTCCACAAGAGCAAACTATTAATTTCTCTTACCTCCTTCACAGACCAACATACATCTTAAAAGCAAAAATAGTAAAGCTAAGAGATTGGTTCGGTTCATTCCAATGGCTTTCATCAATCAGTGCAGTTCGAAAAACTCCTCACACCACTGGGTCTTATATTGTGAATGGCAATCTCAGGGAATAAGCTTTTATAAGAAGTGGGCAGGGCATCCGTCCAAGCAATTGTGCATAAGTTTTTTTATGGGGAGTAACTTGAATTACGAACCGATGGTGGGTGGGTCTTAATCAATCAGAGCCGGTGTTCTGACAAAACGTCCTACTTTATCAAAACATCCTACCGTAGTGCTAATCGATAGCCCTAACCCTAACTCTTACCCTAACCCTAACCATAACCCCCCAAAAACCTTACCTTAACCCTAACCCCTAAAACCTAACACTTATCCAAAGACGGTGGAACTGCACATGCGCAGAAAGGCTCGATAGCACGTCTCGATAGGTAGGATGTTTTGTCAGAACACCGGGTTCAATTGCCTATAAGGGAATCCAACAAGATTACAATGAGATGTGGCTTAGAACGTGACTCACCGGCTGTCATTTGCGCTGGGCTCCGGTCCAACCCGAACGTGAATATCTTCACGTCCTTCACCGGTGTCTTTATATATTTACATTTACTGTATTTAGCGTTTGTTCAAAGCGACGTACACGTGAGGCAAACAGCACATTACAAACATACGGTTGTCAGGAATAAGTGCAGGTATACCGAACTTCAAGTGAATGCCAAGAAAGATTTGTGAACAGTACTGGAGCAAGCACCAGCGGAGTTTTAGCTAGGCCTATCTGGGGCTAAGTCAAGTTTACCTGGGGCTTTTTTTTCGTAGAAAGATAATTGGCATCGGGACTAAAATACTCCGGGCTATGCTTAAAATACTCGGGGTAATGGCCCTGGGTGAACGAAGGTAACGACGCCCATGGCAAGTGCTATAACTGAAGTAGGCTGTAGTGTAAATCGCAGACACTCGTTCGGGGCGTGTTTCATTTTCGTTTTTCCTGTCTCCAATGAAATAAGAATGCGATACTTTTAACAAAACGAGAGTTGTTTCCAAAACAGGCGCGTTTGTGACGTCACCCATTCTGCAGTTTGCATGACCTGTAATGCAAATTCGTCTCCGCTGAACCTCCAAGCTACGGCCGGGCCAAGGGTTGCCAGTTCCAGTTCTCAAAAGTCTCTGCACGTTTGCTTTACCACAGCTTCTGCTTGTTAATAACTCAAATAAGCAGGAATATTTGGCTTGGCATCACATCCAAGGTGTGTGGGATAGGTTTCATGTTCCCCCTGCCACCAGGATAAGCGGTTAGAAAATGGATGGAAGGAGGGATGGGTGGGTGGAAATCATTATTTTAGGTGATGAAATTATGGTATAATTAAAATTTACACGCTGAACTGGACTTGCAGGTGTCTTTTAATCCCACTTATCCAGTCGTCCTACCTGTTATTGTGCTCACAATTTCAGTTTGATTATCGCTCACGCCTGTAAATTCATGCTACTTCAGCCTGGATTTCTGCAGTGGTATGTTTTACTTAAACTTTAATTTCATTCGTGGTGTTAATCCAGACACTTTGTAACTTAGGTTTTTTAGGTAGCTACTTTGTGTCTTTAGTGTGAATTAATATTTTCAATTAAGTAAATTTCTACTCGAGCAGATTAGGGTCTAAAATGTGCTTCCTATTTATTTTTAGGTATAATGTGCCAAAAATTATATAATATGGCATTAAACATAATCTCGGCAGAATTCTCTGATAAGGCACTTAAGACGTTCAAAATGTCTGAGAATAGGTCACAGGTGCGATCAAGTATCGTATGTCTCCCATAGGTGCTACATTGGTTATTTTGGTAGTATTTTCTGACGTCAAAAAAATGCTACCTGTTGATTTATGGTTTACAAAGTGTAAGCATTGCAGTAAAAATTCTTGGGCAGCATTTTCTAACGCAGTGGAAAATGCGGATAGAGATATATCTGTCAGTTTGTGTTATAAGGTTCGACAGAGCACCGGAAGGGAGCGATAACTGGTTTATTGTGCAGGATATATTGTGTTTTACTGAAGCAGTTCAGTTTTCGGTGGACAAAAGCATAACTGCTTCCAGACTTTAACCTAAAACTTAGTAACAATATATGAAAGTGATTTTTTTCGTCCATGTCAATAACTTCTACACCAATGTAACAGTGTTTGAAAAAAAAAATGGTTTTAGCTTGCAAATCACACCTGGTCCACCCAATTGAGTCAGCAAGAACAAAAGCGCAACATAAATATTGAAACGCCTTTATATTATAAGCCTATTACATTTATCGTCGTTATAATAACTATGTATTGACAGGAAAATGTACAAGACCAACTTCTTATTTTTATATGCATCTGGTTGATAAATTAAAGCATCTTTTTTGATACCGACAGTTAAATTCAGGTGTACTCTGATTGCCCTCTACTGGATTATAACGAGTTTACAGTTTGTCATCGGTCATGTAAATTTGTAATTCAGGTGTTGGTGACAACATGTCATGTTTTTCACCTGCTTTAATGAAGGGTAAGCTATTCGTTCTACTTATGGCAAGCTAAATGCCGGCACCTCCTCCGGATGCCATCAAACTCATAAAACTACAGCTTTCCACAGAATAAATGCACGTTTTGCGAGATTTACAGTTTGTTTCTCTACAGTATGTAAGTATAAATAATTTGAAGACCTTCGTTAAATTGCGTAGAAAGTTGAAACCTAGGGAAATATTATCAGATACCGTTTAGCGTTTAACAAACAGCTAAATAAATGAAAATGAAAACATTTTCTCCAGTTCGTATTCTGGCGTTCCTGTGGGCGTGTCGAAAGGTTAGGGGGCGTGTCGAGAGGAAGAAAAAATGGCGAAGTAGGTGGAATCACGTACGTAATTTCCTTTGCGTTTTCTGAAAGCATGGCGGTACGTGTAAATAAGAATAGGAAATGCATTATATATAGTTTGAACATTTGGCATTTAATTAAAGATATCTGTTAATCATAGTCATTACCTAACATAGGGTAAATATCTGGTCTCTTTCTGAAATAACGTTTACGGACAGCATTTTCGGCCAATACAGATAACCTTACTTACAATACCTTACCTGCTTTATTTTACGCGCCACTTCTTGACACGCCCACCTCTCGACATGCCCACTACTCCAGCCTGCAGAGACTTATTATTGGCGTTACTGGAAATGAATGAAAACCAACAAACCTTTTCACCAATAAAAATTTAAAAACAATAATTAAAAGCATTATTAGTTTGCGAATGGCTGCCAGTTAATTTCACTAAAATGCATTTTCTCGAGCCTTTAAGAAAAATAAAGATTAAACCACATATCTCCGAATTGTCTAATAATAATGTTGTTTTTTATGGTCAGTTACGTGTAGGCCTTCAAATACATATCCATTAATATGATTCTTGAAATAAGCAGTAAGGAGTGAACAATGATTGTTTACTGCCATTACTTAAATGCTGGAAATATTTTAGTAGCGAGTTATTTAGCGAGTATTTTTGGTTTAGCAAGACACTCCTTAAAGCTTGCCAGTGCAGGCATATGCTGTTCTCTCCCTAATGAAAACTCTCCATAAAGTTTGATAATCAAGTTAAAAACACAATGGCTGTAGAAGATGCTGGGAGTGTTAATCAGTACCAAGGATGCAAAGAACATACCTGTGTGCATACCCTTGTGCTAACTTGCCTCCAATGAACAAACTGACATAAACACGAGGACAGAGAACAAACTAACTGTGGGTTGAGACAATGTGTACTTGCTGTTCCACTATGTTGAATGCTCAGCTGATTAACCCAGCCATCCTTAACTTTTACCATAGTGTATAATAGGCCTTCATGCGGCACCTAATCGAAATGTCTAGTATGAATGACTAATTATGCTTGGTATGATTACATTTTTTTTTCATAAATAAAATTTACACGTAATTTATTCATGTTTATTTCTTGAACTCTGTTCAAATGTAATATGGGGGTTTTAGCCAATCCATTGTAGCAGGTCCATGAGCCACAAAAGTACATAACCGTGGCACAATTCAGTCTGACGGGAATGACTGAAGTATTACTGTTTAAAGTAGTGGGACGCAATGCTTTGTTCTTCAGTACTGGCACTGTACTTTGGCCATGGAACATGACATTAAACAGGTATGCGAGAACACAAGAACGGTTGAGTACGCATATTGATAAACACCCTTGATCTTGTGAACACAATGGTGGTTCTGGTATACTTGGTGTCCTGGGTGAAATCAACTACTCACATGTGCAGTTGTGTTGGTGCTCCATGGTATTACTTTAATGATGCCATACTGGCAATTGCCCATGTTGCCCTTGCCAGGATCTGCCCAGGTATGACCACAGTAACTCTACAAGAAGAGAGAAGAGCAATTGCTGATTACACTGAAATTTGTAAACATTATAACTCAAAAAGTATTTGATAAGTCTTTTTGCAATTTCACAATATCACATGGATGAAGATATGTATGTCATGCAGTTGTGGTAAGAAGTTTACATACACTTAGGGGCATGAATGGCATATTAATTTTGGGCTTTTAATGATTTGTTTGAACCAATCATTTTTTCAGGGTGGAATGCTTACACAACATACATTGTCAGTGATCTTTCAAAACAAGAATTGGGTGCACAAGTTTGAATTTATTTTGGATTTTGAACCTTCAGCACAACCAGGTCTGACATTTTACTGAAGGGGTTTGCTCTAGAATTTTCTTCACGAAAAACTTTGGTCAACAGCTACTACAGATTTCAAACTATCATCTCCACTCCCCCAACACATTCTGGTCTTTTGAGATTTAAATCTGTTATTTAAACCTTTCTTGTGGCAGAGTTTGGTTGTTATATATGTACCATTTAAGAGATGCATTTTTTTTGCAGTTATATGAGTGATATTGCTGTCTGTGATTGCATTCTGCCTACTTGTTTGAAATGGCCTGAGATGAAAAAACAATTTTTGATTCTCAGAAGTGGTGTTTTTTATGAATTGTTGTCATCTGGCTACTCTTTATTAAAATTAAGCAGGCTGATTCAATTCATATTTGAACAGATATTACTGTGTTTTAATTACTATGTGAAGTACCTGAGTGTGACTGAGTCACTGAGTACTTTCTGTCCAGCTGACTTCATACTTTCATATTTGTTGCCAGAGTCCGTGTTTGCCTGTCACACCCACCGTTCAGGCAGCTGTTCATCCAGGAGCACCTCTTCCCTGTGACTGTCAATGTCTGACATGGTCCCTTATCAGTATATAATTGTAAGTCAGTACGTATGCTCTGGAGTGGACACAGACACAAAAAAATTAAGTTTGATTATGTGTGTTTAGTAGTAAATTGAATTATTAGTAAATTTGGCTTTCTAAATAGGCCTTAGTGTGTGATTGTATGGTGGATTAGCATTGTCTTCTTGGGATAGGTTCCAAGATCACCATGACACTGTACCAGAGAAAGGTTTAATGGAAAATTATGTCATAGTAATTTGAATGATAACCACATTTTTGCAACTTACTGTTAAGAATAAAAATCAACAAACACAAAATCTTTCCAAATTTCACATACATATCCTCTAATTTCATTTTTATGGTCAAAATTTATGATGAGTTACTATTTCAACTAAAATAATAATGAATACATCTAAAAATAAATGTGAAAAATCAGTAATTTAGCTGAAATGAATATCTTTAAATTTTACAATGCAAAAACCCCTCCAAAGCTTTTGAAGGTATTTGCTAAGGTTCCTTAAGAAATTCAGAATGAAATTCACTGCTTTTAGGTTCTGGCTGATTCCTAATGAATCAGACATTTTTCAGCAATTGCTTGTGAAAATCTGACTAATTGATTTATGGATAGCATAAATCCATTCTAGTTTTCTGGTGTTGTGTTTTTGGCTTAGGATGTTATCATCGGTAGGAGACAATATCATACCATCAATGTGTGCAAGTGATGTTGCATTTTACAGGTGGAGAACCAGTACTCACATAAGTTCAGAGTCACGGTTGTGAGGGCTGAGGATATCACCAAGGGAGAGTGGGGTGATTATTGTAAGTACAATGATACTTGTTGAGTAAGTTTGTTCTAGAAATCCTCACCCTAGGATGCGGACAAAAAGATACCTGGTTGTCAGTTGTGTTTACATTTTCTGAGAAAGTACTATAAATATCAATCATTCTGTGCATCATTCTTTGTGCTCACAGTGGACATCTCAGATCCTTACGTAGAGGTGTGTGTGCCAGCTGTCTCTAAAACCAAAAAACGGACAAGGCAGATAGGCAACAGCGTGAATCCAGAATGGAATGAAACTTTTGAATTCATATTGGACCCTAGTCAGGAGAATGTTCTAGAGGTAAAGCCTCGGTGCTGCTGTGCTGCTGATTATGCTGTAAATGCTGAAATACCCAGTGATGCAATACCAGCAGCTGTTATTTTATTGTTACATTTGTAGGTCACGCTAATGGATGCCAACTACGTTAAGGATCAAACACTGGGAACTGCATTGTTTACTATCTCTGATATTAAAGTGGGACAAACACAACTGATTCCCCTCCTCATTGGTGACGTAAGGATCTTTAATGAATATATTAAAAAAATCACATTACAGTTTTTGTTGACAAAGGATTATGGGAAAAGAAGGAAGTTCCTGTAGCTGTGCTGTTCTGCTACTTATTAGATCCCTGAGATTCCCTGAATATTGGCGTCTTGGTGCTTGTCACTTTGTTAGAGCTGTTATTTTGAAGTTAACATGTTTGCGTTGTTTTGACAGGCTACCAAGGTGTATTTAGAGATGTCCCTGGAGGTTTGGTATGTATTTGTAGTGACAAACGTCACACAGTTTGATGGTCAGTTTTGTTTGAATTACAGCCAATCAATGATCAGAGACTGATTCCTTGGAATATGACTTTTACTTTTCCTCTAACATCTCAGCTGTCAAAATAATTCATTTGAGGTGATAGTCAAGAAGTAGAGGTCCAGGATACCAATTTTTTATTGTTTTTGTAAACTAAGGGCATGGGTTACGTAACGGTTTATGTTTAGTCTTCCTGTTTAACTTAGTCACTTTCATAACATTCAAGTTACGACTTAAACCTTGGTGTGGTTGCTCAATTCATACATACGTTTGTATATCACTTAGTCAGACAAAATGTTTATAGAGGGTCTCCTAGGCTTACTCAGTGTAATAATGGTTTACTGAAGCCCCCATGCCAATTTCCTGGCCTCTTTAGTTCTATCAAGGATCTTCGCCTGAGCTTGGCTCTCTGTGACAAGGAGAAGTTCTTCCAGGAGGCTCGTCGGCAGAAGGTCATGCTGGGAATCCAGAAGCTTTTGAACACAGAGAAGAGCTGCTTCCTCCCCACCACCCGGCAGGAAGTATGTCCCTATGGTGTTAACTCATCCCACCTCTTCCGAGTTTCATACTCCGTCTTAAATGGCCCTCATTGTGATGCAAAATAGTGAGTCAATAACATGTTTGGATGGGCTTAGCTGTTAACATTAGCAAGCATTGTCAGTCAACTACTTCGTATGGCAGCGATATACGAAATCGCCAAAATAACTGATGCAGAACTAGAACACAGTATGTACAGCAATATTACTAGAAAATATTATTCAATGGTTGAGCACCTGCCCCTCCAAGTGTCTGCACAACCATGGTTATTTATGTAGTAATAATTCTGCTTTAGCCTCTTAAATGCAGCCAGCAATCTCCTCTTTTTGACGAGTTCACCCATGTTACAGCACATATTAGTTGGTCCATCCCTGGGCGCCAACAATTAAAAAATATAAACATAAGAATTAGCACATTGTTTCAAATGCAGGCTCCTGTTTGTCACCATAATTGGTATCCCTGGGTCTTCCAGCCAATACGTTGGGTTGGCTTGATTACGGGATTTTAAACTCTGGCTTAACTCACTTGAACCTGTCCATTTTGTACCATTTTTGATAGCTTAGTTAGACCGAAGCAAGTCAAAGGAAGCAGGTAAGGTCATATTGATTATAGATTTAGGTCAGGGTTAGGCTTATCTTATAGCTAGTGATGCTGTACTTGGTGTTCTGGTAACTGCTTTTTTTGTCCAGGTGCCAGTGATTGCCGTTATGGGGTCTGGAGGTGGGTTCCGGGCCATGGTGGGCTTTGCTGGCGTGATGAAAGCTCTCTTTGAGTCTGGAGTTCTGGACTGTGCCACCTACATAGCTGGGCTCTCTGGATCCACCTGGTGAGTGTCATGAACAACAATGAAAGGAAAATGGGAGAGATCAGGGGAAGGAATCCTTCTTTGTCACTGCATGGTGCCCTAGGAATGTTAGCTAGCCAAGTGCCTCCTTAGTGCTTCACTGCTTGTCTTCTGCTGTACAGCTGTAACTAAGCATACCCTGTAAACGAACCATAAATGCTCTACCTCCCCGACCTTATGGCAGGTTGAGACTCCCCAGATACAGCAGGACAGCCTGTGATCCAAGAGATTCTCTTAGCCCTCATGAGTGCCTCATATAACCAAGAAATATGCTACAAGTATTCAGTGGTAACACAGTTTCTGTTCACTAATCTGCTTGTTAAGTCGTGACACTTGAATCGCGTGATAATACTGTTTCCTTGGCCAACCCGAGTACATAGCAAAATGCTGCAGTGTCCTGTATCTGTCTTTTAATTGATCTGAAATAAAAAAACTAAAGAATTCTCCTTCTTCCGCTTTCAATGCAATGAGAAAGAGAAGTGGCTATGTAAACTAAATAGCCATTTTCACAATTTTTCATCTTTAATATTGGGATGTAACGGTACACAAAATTTATGGTTTGGTACGAACTTCAGTTTTCTACAATGGATCTAAAGTTGCTAAAGAAAGGCTATAAATGAGTGCTGTACTTTTTAAGATAAGTCTTGACTATACTGTAAAATGTTACTGTAATAATACTGAAATGTGGGTGAGTACATAAATCTGTTTCTAGTACTACATCTTAAATGATATTGTAAGAATCAATTAGTTAGCTACATATATAATTAGTTAGCTACATATATATATATATATATATATATATATATATATATATATATATATAACTACAGTGCAATACCATAAGACATGTATAACTATATGCATATCTTACTTACGCAAGTTCCTCAGCTTTAATAATGAGTGCTAAGATTACTGGTGATCGATGATATTGAAATACAGTGGTACCTCAGTTCTCAAACTAAATAGAACTCGGATTTCTTAAAAGTCGAACCAACCACTTCGAAAAAAGATCACCTAGAGCTCGATCTGAATCTCAGAAGTCAAACCGTGAACGCCGACCTAAGATAACTTGTACGCGCGGGCAATTGAGTCACGCGGCATGTCTCTCAGCGGAAACAAAGGGTAATGCTTCAGTGTCAGCCTCGCATTCGCTGTGATATTATCGTGCATGTTTACTGAATACATATATTTAGACAGTAAAAATACATTTAGACAATGATAGACAGTAACAGTAATTATTATTATATAATAAAATATATTTTAAAATAAAGATTTCTTATTCATTATTTTAATATTAATTAATACGTTTAATTATAATAATATTGTTGTGCCGAACGGGGCACACGGAGACAAAGGCGCAGACGTCAGGGTATCGGGGAATACGAGGTTTATAATTACGGGTAAGGCAGACAAAACGCAGACGTACAATGACCGGCCTGGGGAAACAAACTGAAACGCGGACGAAATACAGAGGACTAATCACAACAACCAGAAACAGCTGATCACACGGGGATTCCACACCGGGCTAACGAGGGGGCGTGAAACACGGAAGGAGCGGACGATTGGGGCAGGACACATTGTTTGGATACATTTATTTTCTTACTTTACAAATGAACGTTTTGATAAATGTGCTTAGGTGCGTTTAGTACAGTATATGCTGTTCTTGTTTTATCCGGTTCATTTTGTTTTTAAATGCTAAAAAAAACATATTTAGGTGTAATTTTTTGAGGCCGGGGACCAATTAATTGGTTTTCCATTATTTCTTATGGGGAAAATTCGATCACAACTCGAACTTTTTAGGATTCGATCTGGAGTTCTGAACGGATTAAATTCTGAGGTACCACTGTAATATGTTTATAAGCTGGGTATAGGAAGCGAAATAATCCATTTTTTGATCTTATTAAATCATACTGTTCATGCCAGTATCTCTGCAAAAACACATCCAGCATAAATCCTAAACCTGGGGTTGCAGTGAAAAATAGGATGCCATTGCAGGAAGGCTTGCATATAAAACCTAGCAAACAGGGACAGGAGTGAGACCTGAGCCCTCTACCCTGACCGTCTCTCTTTTGAATCCGCAGGTACATGTCCAAACTGTACTCCCACCCTGATTTTCCAACCAAGGGCCCCAGCGAGATTAACCAGGAGCTGACGAAGAGTGTGGCCAACTCTCCGATGCGGCTGCTGACGCCACAGCACCTCTATCAGTATGTCCATGTGCTGCAGTCCAAGAAGGCAGCTGGGCAGCCCGTTACATTCACAGACATCTTCGGCATGCTCATCGGGAATACCCTCATCCCTGGGGTAAGCAGAAGCCTTCCTCTGGATGTGCAGTTATGGCTGACACACACCCCAGTGCTATATTACTATCTGGCTCTGAGGGTAGTGCTGTAGCATCTCATCTCCAGTTAGAGTTCCTCATGCTCTTCATATTGCACAGATTTCCTCAGGGTCGCCTCTCTTGACTTCAGGCTGGAGGATGGGCTCTGACTTTTCTATGTGCTTATGCAATAAACATCAGTTCAGACTATCCGGCCTTCTTAGAGACCTGGAAGGGTGCGATTGGAGGGTATTGCTCTATTATTATATTATTATGCTCTAGCTACAGTTTATCTATAACGAACACCATGTATAAGCATAAGGATGTTCATAAGTGCGTCTGGAATCAGAACAGCTCATTGATTGATTCAGTAGTTGTATCATCAGATCAGGTGGTGAGAAGATCTGGACTGTCAACTGATTAGCACCTGATGGTGAGTTGGATTAGATGATGGGGGAAGAGGCTGGACAGATCTGGTCGACCTAAACATATACTGAGGCTGTGCTGGGAACATTTGCCCTGGTGTAAGAGATCTTCGATCCACACCTCTGGCAGAACTTCTCTTGCATTACAAGGTAGACACTGAGCCCAAATGGGCGATGTTCCGTACCTCCATTGCTGAGGTGGTTGGTCAGAGTGGTGGCTGTAAGGTTTTTGGTTCCTGTCGCGATGGCAACCCCTAAACCCATTGATAGACACCGGTAGTAAAGGGAGCCCTCCATCTGAAAAAGGAGGCCTTCCATGCTTGGTTAGTAGCTGACAGGTACTGGCATCACTAAAGCTGAGGTCACTGAGGTAGTCAAAAATCTCTTTAGTGGCAGGGCTCCGGAGGTGGATGAGATGTGCCCTGAGTTCTCAACCGAAAAATTGGTCTTCTGAAGGAAGAATAGAGCGAGTTATTGACAGGCAGATCTGTGCGGCATCAGCAGTTATGCAGACATGCTGTTCTGTTGTGATGATGAGAGAGTCAAAAGGCAAGTTATCGATTTGCCAGTCGATCTACATTCCTATCCTCACCTATGATTACAGGCCTAATGCATGGGTAGTGACTGAAAGAATGAGATTGTGGATACATACAGTACAGTGCAAATAAGCTTTTTTCTTAGGAGGTCTGGACACCGGTTTAGAGAGAGGGTGAGGAACACAGATGTTCAGGAGGGACTCAAAGTAGCCCCAGTGCTCTTCTGCATCGAAAGGAGCCAGCTGAGGTGGTTCAGGCATCTGAGCAGGATGCCTCCTTGGAGAGGTGCTTCAGGGATGTGTAACCCAGAGGAGACCTCAGGGCAGACCCAGGACATGCTGGAGAGATTACATCTGGCCTGGGAATGCCTTGGTATCCCCCCAGAGGAACTGGAGAAGGTGGCTGGGGAGACAGAGATTTGGACATCTCTGCTCAGACTGCCCCGTGACCCAGATCTGAATAAGCTGTGGAGAATGTATGGATGGAAGTTTGAATGTGTGGCCAACAATGGATTCACATCCCATCCAGGCTGTTTCCCTGCCTCGTGTCCTGTGCCTTTTGCTTCCTGAGAGCACTTATGGAAGATAAAGCCACGGGCCAGTTTGCGTTTATTGTACATGAACTATATCAGAGCTCCATTTACTTTCCAGTATATGGACATGAAGCTGAGCCAGATGGCGGAGAAGGTGGATGATGCCCAGAACCCGCTGCCCCTCTTCACCTGCTTGCACGTCAAGCCTGACGTGTCAGAGCTCATATTCGCAGGTATGTGACAGTGTGTCTGTGTGGCTCCAAATGGGCTTGGTTGTCACTTTATTGTTATTCTCTTTTGTCGAAAATATACACATATATTATAGTATGGAGTGTAATGTAATGTTAATTGAATTACAATTAACATAACATTAATTTAATTACTTTTCAGATGATGCGGAATGTTCTAGTAAGATACTCACAGGGAGATCTGTAATTTGTTGTTTTAAATGTGTCTGGAAAAGTTAATGGATTAGTGGATTGATGGTACAGGAACTATTAATTAAAGTGATATTTCTTGGAACCAATGGACTCATTCAGTAGGTTTAAGCTTCCAGAATTTCCAGTGTACTTTTCACTTTCCGTCCGGCTTCCTTCGTCTCACTGCTAGTTCAGGCCTGGATCTTCTTCCGGGCTGACAGGGAATTCAGTAGCTGTGAGACACGACTGCTGTTGCTTCACACTGTTCCCCAGGGCGTAGGCAAGGTGCCTCAGCCGGCCATGCATACGGGCATTCTGCAGAGGTGACGGGCCCCCTTGGGCTGCTGGGGTGTGCTGCATTCCAGGGAGCGATGCATCACCCCTCAGATCGGCACAGGCCCTCTTTTGTGGTGTTGCATGACTAATGGTTATTATTCGGCTGGAATTTGAGTTGCAGTAGAGCTGACACCCTGTGTTATGGATGCCTTCTGTGAAAGTATGTAGGGGCATTATAAAAAAAAAAAACAAAAAAAAAACAGGTAAAATACTGCAACTGGAAAATCAAAGAAGTGTTTTCTAATCCATTCTAATTCTAATTCTGTCCAGAGTAAAGAAGCTCAGTTAACAAGACATTAGAAAGCCTGAATTTAAAAGGTTTTGATAATATTTAATATTATATTGGTATTTATATTTGTATTTTATATTCTTCCCAGTCATTGTGTTTCATGACAATTTACATCCCCTGTAAATTTGCTGATCTGAAAAATGAATCTATAACAATATACTAGCTTCATATACTCACATTCAAATACTCAAAACTTTCATATTCATTTCCAAAAAGATTGGCGTATTTTGGAATCTGCATAATTAGCAATCCTAATTGGAGTCAGGAATATTGGATAGCCAAGCAGGGCTTGTCTGAATTGTTTGGTTGTGACTGGTGAGTCGATGCGGCTCCCATTTTATGATGTATGACAATGGAAAGTGGTGATGTATAAACTGAAAATGTTCATTGAGTTTTTAGCATGGAATTGTTTTTGATGAAATATAATTATAAAATGTTAATAGAACTAAAAAACTTAAAAAAAATGTTTTGGCACCACCATTTAGTTTCAGACAAATTTGTATGAAATTTATTTATTCTGAAACTTAACAGATGCAAGGAAAAAATGCAGCTATTAAAAGAAATGCAATCGAGAATTTCATGCTAATAATTTTCCAATATTTTCACAGACCTTATATTATTACAGTGGAGTATTCTGGAGTATCTTTACATCAAATGTATGTTGCCTTAATATTTAATTTTCAAAAACTGTTTTTTTTTTTTTTTTTTAATTTTGAAGTTAATTTCACAAAATTTATTGGAAACTCAATGGAGGCCTATCAATGGAGGCCTGCTCGCATCAGTTTCAAAAACATGTAATGACACCAGATCCATCAGCTCTTTTCCAGCAGAACTGCATATTCATGGTGAACTGAGCTGTAGCACTCTAGCCTCAAAGAAACATGATAAGCAAATATGCATTCCCATGAATTTTATGTTTTGCATTTTCATGTTTGGCTGGGCAGACTGGGTGGAATTCAGCCCTTATGAGATTGGGATGGTGAAGTATGGAACCTTCATGACCCCTGATCTCTTTGGGAGCAAGTTCTTCATGGGATCAGTGGTGAAGCGCTTTGAGGAAAGCCCCCTTCACTTCCTCATGGGTAAGAGACACGGTGGTTTCTGCAGGATTGGGAGAGATGCTGAGAGGGTGGCATCATTGTGCACTTTCTCCAACTTCAGGTGGGGGCATGGGGTTCCTCGTTCTTCAGGAGCACTCATCACTCCCATGTGTGGTGGGTTTATCTTATAGGCCCATAAGATGGTTGTACTTTTCCTCAAGTGAGAGGAAGAGAACAATTAATATAACGGATCAGATACTTCTGCGATTTGACAAAAGCAGCCTCTGCCATAGAGACAGAGATCTATCCTATTCTGTTCTGTTTTGTTCTGTTTGTTTTATTATTACTGCTAGACTTCTCTTGATTGCCATCAATTAAAACACATTGGCAGATAATTGACACTAAGCAATCTGCATATTTCAAATTAGACACCTGCTGAAATGTGGCGATTTATGACAAATTATCCTGCGCTAGGCACTTTGATTTCTTAGTTCCAGCTATGTGAGCTAACAGTGCAGCCACATGAGGAAAAAGATAAGGACTGTTCCATGCTACTGTTATGCTCAGCTGTGACCTACTCCAGTGCAGGGGGGGGGGGAGACTTTCAGAATGCAGATGACACAAGCACTGAGGAATCCAGACATTTGTGAGCAGTAATTTGTCACTGTCTCTATAGGTGCAGCAAATATTACGTTTATCGTTGGCTGATATTAGAGTCTGATCTCTTGCAGTGACTCTGCAGGTAGTCACTTGTCCAAAGAGAAGTATTGCAGTTATGTTGTTCACCTGTCATCAGTGCATCTGTTTTCACATGCATGATGTAGCTCAACTGGAAAGCGGTTACTAATGCATACGTATAAAGTTATACGTAAAGTTATAAATCGGGTTTCACTGTATACAGTGAATTAAATTAATCTGAAATGGGGTCAAAAATACCAAAAGTATTTATTAATTAGGTCTGATAAATAATATAATTCAGTGCCAGGGGTTTATAACTAGAATTTGTCTTCTGTGTTGATTCTAAGGTAAGTCATTTTGAAGTGTATTTCTGTACAGCTGGCTTGGCATGATTGAACCTCGGAATTCAACCTTTTATCCACCTACGTTCAAGCAAAGCAACAGCCTCTGCATTATGTTCAGATGGGATCCAAAGTGGAGGAAGCAGTAGCAGGTGTTCTATGGGATGTTTGTCTCACGCAGGCGTGTGGGGCAGCGCCTTTGCCATACTCTTTAATCGACTCTTTGGAGGCCAAGCCCACAGAAGGGGGAGCACCTTGGAAGAGGAGCTGGGTAAGAGGCATTTCCTGCTTTGGGTGGGTGTCTATATACACGCATAAACACATAGGCAGCCCTGTATACACAGGCTTATAAATACTACATTGTATTTGAGAGCAGTACCGTAACCAGAGGTAGAATCTATGCACTAATAAAGACACGTAACCGCAGGCAAATGTCCTTCATGCTTTTGCTAACATGGTTTTTATTGTCTTTTGAAGGTTCTTTCCTGCCACTGGGCTATAGACCTCATTGGGAGAAATTCTTTTAAAGAATGTAGTTTGTTTTCTGTTCATTTGGGCAAACTGAACGAATACCGTGTGTGTCCTCTGCTTAAGAACAGATGAGAAATGATTCACTCATAGGTCAATGGTAGTATGAGGATGAAAGTCAAGTAAACTACGAATTCTTTAGTAATAAATTCAGTAATTATGTATATATATTATATACACCGATGAGCTAAAACATTACGACCACCTTCATATGACGTGAATAATGTTGACCGTCTCGTAAAAATGGTTTGTATCAAGATCTACGATATATTACACGGTAAGCTAACTTTGGTGCTCGTGATCGATATGTTGAATGTATAAGAAATGGGAAGGGGTAAAGATCTGAGTGAGTTTGACAATGGCCAAATCCTTATGGTCAGTTGACTGGATCAAAGCATCTCTGAAATGGCGATGCATGTGGAGTGCTCAGCGTTAGCCGTCATGCACAAGCACCTAATTGGCAGCTGAACAGCAATTAATGAGTTCCTCTCACATCCATCACTTTTCTATTTGGCTATAGTTTGTTATGGGTAAATTTTCAAATCAAATTTTCAAGCTTTTTTGTTTTATAAATGCAGCAAAATTGATCGCAGAAATCCAGATCTGTGATTTTTTTCCAGTATCATTCAGCCCTACTCAAGACACACAATATGTTCTCAAAATAAAATGACACTTAGCTATAAGGTATTTACCATATTTTGTATTATGTAAGGTGATGCAGCTAAGCAACAGGGCTGGGCCTTTGTTTTTGTGCCGATTATTTTGAGATGCAGAATAATTTAAGTCAAAGTGATGACAAAGATAGGCTACTCCAAGAGGCTAAAGACCACATAGCTTACAGTTATCTGTAGCTAACCTCGTATTAATGGAGTCCATGGATGCCTTTGAAGATGCACTGCAGTCATGCTGCTGTGATATTTAAGTTCTGTGATGTCTGCATTTTCATTCACTTTCAATGTGAAATGCTCCCACACCTCTTGGCTTTTGCTCTCGTTATTTGTGGACCGTCATCTGCTATGCTCCGTCTTCCTTTTGCCAAAATACACAGTGATTGAAAAGGCAAGTTTCAGTCAGTGCTTTATTTAAAATCGATGAATTGAGTTTAATCGAGATATCAGGATAAGTCTAGTTCAGGCTCAATATGCTGCCAGGGTAGTGAAGTCATACTCCCAGAAACGTAATTTGTAACAAAATCGTTAGGGAACAAGAGGACGTCCAGCACTCAGATGATTTGCCCTTTCAAACCCGTTCTAGGGGCTGTTGTGTGTTTATTGCTGTATGGAAAGAATGTTGATTGAGCCTCCCCAAAGGTCAACGTGATTTGCTAAACTTTTGGCCTTTGCGGGACTGACACAAAAGTCATCGGAAAAAGCAGTTTACTGTTTGCTTAATGAGCAACTGCGTTATGTGACATTCATGCAGTGACGTTACCATGGGTATTTGTTTATATATTGTATGTCTTACGCTGTTGGTGTAAAACCAAAATATTATAGCTGTCAAAGTATGTCAGCATAGCCATTTCAAAAGTTCTCATAAATTCACCCCAGTATTTCCAGCAACCATCCAATATACCCATTAATTTGTTGACTTGACCGCTAACATATCATGTTTGGCTAATCTATATTCATTAAGTTAATTGATTAATTTTGCTTGTGGTGAAATTTAACAAAAGGGGCGACCCAAAGGGGCGTTCTTCTAGCTTTCTGGAGAACAATAATAATGATGTTTTATTGTGTTGAAGTTCATTTGCATATATTCTAATGTTAAATTGTGTTTTTTTTTTCTGAGCAAATATACATTTTCTACCAAGGTAATTACTTTTTTACATATTGTGGTTTGTAAACCTGTGAAATGTTTTGGTTTTATGGAACCCTTGGAGCCCGATAGTATTATGGGAAATGAAAACTTTGGCAACGAACCATGTTCAGGTCAGAACCAGAAGTAGATATGGGTTGTAATCCTGTGCATGTCTCTCTGTGCAGATGTACTGTAAGACACATACCTTTTGGTTGCTATTGCTGTTTTTCTTTGTGTTCAAAATGCAGTTATATATAAAGCTATCTGTCTGGGTGGTATGTGTACATTATATGCATGAGCCAAATGTTGTCTGTGTAGGACACACACCTGCTGTGTTGGATTGATGTTTTACTCTTGAGTCTACAATACCTTTAGGCACTGCTTATGCTGACTTGTATTTACTGCCTGGATTTGACCCTTAAAAATGTTTTGTGGACATAGGCAATGAGTCCCACCCTCAGGAGCAGAACAGCTGGCCTCCGCACATGTTCACCTCTCTGATCAGCAACTCCGCCATCTTGAAAAGCCGGGAAGGCCGGGCCAGCAAGGTGCACAACTTCTTGTGGGGCCTCAGGCTGAGCGCCTTGGTGCCGCACTCGCCTTGTGGGGACCTCGCCAAGGAGGCCTTGGCTGCACAGGAGGCAGACGCTGTCGAAGGTCTGAAACCAGTTCAGTCTGTCTTTCTGACCATAGACTCAGCAGTGAACAACATCGATGAACTAGCAGTCTTCAAACTAAACACAAGTGGTTTGCGAGCCTCGTGTGAGACCTTTTGGCTGTAATGGCTTATGTGGTCTATACTGGGTAGAAGGAACACAAGCAAAACAAACCTCATGCTCGACTATAAAACATTCTTAGTGCTCTTTTTTTCCATATAAAATAAGAAGAACCTTATGTTGGACAGCCTAGTGGATACTGTTATGTCACACATCCTGGGTTTGGGGATCAAATCCTGCTCCCACTCAGTGTGTGTGTGCAGTTCAAATGTTGTTTGAGTTTGCTGCTGTAGTCCAGGGATGTGCAGTTAGGTAAATTGACATCACTAAATGTGCTTTCCTCTGCAGGAACTTTGTTCAGGAACCTGTCACGTTTCCAATCCATGAACTAGGCCCGACAGTAACTCTGTGTAACAGTTCCTGAATCAATGGAGAATGGACAAGTGTTTTTGGGGTGGTAGTGTAGTTTTGTTTGAAATTATGTGTTCAGTTTAAAATATGAGGTTTTTACTTCTCCCTTGCTTTTTTAGCATATAGGCTGCAGTTCATGTTGTGCGGTAGAAAGGGAAATGACACACTTTAGTGGCCAGGAACTACAAAAGTTCCCGGTCGAGGCAGCCCAGGAATTCAGAACCAGATCCTGAACTTTGGTGGCAAAGTGGCTTAATTTGTTTGCAGAGTATGACTGTGTGTGGCTTGCAATGAACCGGCATGCAATGCAGAGTGTACTCTACCTGTGCTGTGTGGGATAGAAACCCATATTTATACTTACTTTTACTCCACTGTTGTTGAATCATTAGGGGTAGACAATTTTGTTTTTGTTGATTCATTTTTTAAAAAAGGTTTCTTACACATCAGGATATTTTCTGAAGCAATACTAAGAGGGGAAAGACAAATTTCTGGTCTATCGACAATCAGTTATTAGGGTTTAGTCTGCTATACCACATTTGTGACACCTGCTGACTCTGTTTCCTACTCATGTCATGGCAGTCGTGTGTGTATCTAGTTCTGCAGAGGGCGACATATTGACAGGTGTTCCCCAAACCCCTTTCTCTCTGTCGTTAATCCTGGAAACAGAACCCAATGAGTTTAATCGCATTTACGAGCCTCTGGATCCGAAGAGCAAGAAGATCCATGTGGTGGACAGCGGCCTTAGCTTTAACCTACCATACCCGCTCATCCTCAGGCCAGAGAGGGGCGTGGACCTCATAATATCATTCGACTTTTCTGCTAGGCCGAGTGATTCCTCTCCACCCTTTAAGGTCAGCAATTTGACATCGATTTGACTCTATTCAAGTTCCTCTATCTGTACAACTAAAAATTATGCCAGGGTACTGAAAAAAATATATTATACTGTATGTATGTTATGTGTGTGTGTGTATATATATATATATATATATATATATATATATATATATATATATATATATAAAATCTGGCAAATATCTGTATAATAATATATAATCTGGCAGATATATATATATCTGTCTGCTATCATGTGTCCAATTATTTGTCCAAGTTTCTCATAGTTAAGGAGTTTTAGTGATTTTTTTTAACTGATTAAATATGTTGTGTTGGTGAGATGGGGGGCATGTGATGGGACACATGCCCCCTGTGATGTCACTTTCCGCCTGGGCTCTGTCTGTGGAGTTTGCATGTACTCCCTCTGTCTTTGTTGGGTTTTCCCCAAGGACCTGGGTTTCTCCCCACAGTCCAAAAACATACTAAGGTGAATTGGAGTTACCCATCTATCCGGTGTGAATGTGTGTGTGACTTAGTGTCCCATGCTGGGTAATTCCCTGTTTTGTACCCATAACTTCTGGGATAGGCTCTTGACCCCCCGCAACCCTGCATAGGACAAGCAGGTATGGAAAATGGGTGGATGTTGAAGAGCATTTCAATATTTTCAGATGAAGCAAAGCCATAACTGGCCAAAACTGTGGGAACACCTGACATTTTTGGCATTACGTTTTAAAAATTGGTGATAAAGTGTATAAACAATCAAAGAATGTTTGCAAATATCATATACTGGACAATTAAATAAGGAACTGGAATAAAGTTCTGCAATGTCTAAAAATTGATAGTGTTTCCACAATTTTGGCCACTAGTGTATGTTTATAAATGAAAGTACTGAATGTATTTGCCAAGCTACTCATCCTTAAGGGAAAATCCACAGCTTGTGTTTGATGTTTTTTATGAAGAGTTGTTCAGTGTTGTTTGTATAGCTTCTGGAGATATTATTGGGACTCTGACCTTTGTCCTCAGGAGCTTCGCTTGGCTGAGAAATGGGCCCATCTGAACAAGCTGCCCTTCCCTAAGATAGACCCCAAGGTGTTTGACCGAGAGGGCCTGAAAGAATGCTACGTCTTTAAGCCTGAAGATGGCCAGAGGAACTGCCCCACCATCATCCACTTTGTGCTGGCCAATACTAACTTCAGGAACTTCAAATCTCCAGGTACTTGAGCCACTTGGTATCATGAAACTACGAAAAGTGTAATGGAAGGACTGAAGTGTGTGTTGAATAGTAACATGAAAAGGGCAGTGCTTGTAATGTGCATGGCTGAGGAGAGAGCAAGTTTACTTAATATTATGATAAGTATACACAAAAATCTATATTATATATAGTTTAGATTAGATTCAACTTTATTGCCATTGCATGAATTACAAGGACTCAGACAACAAAATGCAGTGCAGCTCTATTTTGAGGGAACTAATCAGTGTGCCTCTCTAAGGAAATCCTTAGTAAAAGGTGAAAGATTTGCAAGAGATGAAGAGAAACCGAGGCAATAATGTGACTCTTCAAATATTCCACTTTAATAATCATTTTAATGTTGTTGTTAAAGTAGTTTTATTAATTTTCAGTTTCTCCACAACACCATAGTCCTGAAACTTAGCAAATAATAATAAAAAAAATCAGTATTTTACAAAATTATGCAGTAAACATCGCTCAATACACGTGTCAGTTCCTGCAAATGCCTACAGAGCAGTACACTTTAGTAGTCTTTCTCTTTGTGCGGTAAGCAAGGACAGAACAATCGCGTGTTCTATCGAATATCCGACTTTATGTGAAATTTCAAGTGTAACATTCAATTATCCAGAAAATTGCACAATCTGGAAATTCTTACTCCCAATGTTTCTGGATAAGAGAAGTTTAACTACATTAGTATTTTTGCACTGACTCACATTTTATCATATTAAACTAAGTGCTGTTGGAAAAATCACACATACAAATGAATGGATGCAGCTACATGCAGTCAAATAAAGACATGAAAGGCAAAATGGACTGTGAATCAGAGCTGATTTTTGTGATTGTCAAATGAAGGCCACAACAAGAATGACTAATAAACAAAATATATTTTTAAACTTAATGAATGAGCTGGTATAATAAATACAATGTTTTGTTGCCAGTATTAAGCAAGCCTGCTGGTGGTTTTGTTCAGGTGTGCCTCGGGAGAGTAAAGTTGAGCAGGAGTCTGCTGACTTTGACATATTTGATGATCCAGAAAACACCTATTCCACGTTTAACTTCCACTACTCCACTGAAGCCTTTGCTCGACTGCATGACCTCATGGAGTTCAATACTCTGAACAACATCCAGGTTTGTTGACTCCCGTCTTCCCCCATAACTGTAAGCATCATCCCAAACTTTGGAGACGTTTCCACACTACATCACTAAGTTTCAGTGGTTAGCGGTTAAACTCCTTAGAAAGCTAAGGGCATTATGTTTCTGATGAGCTGCAACAGAGCCATTTGTTGTGCGATTGGCCATTATTTCTGATCTGTGACCGCAGAGAATTAGCTTCCTGTGACATCTGCACCGGTGTCCCTGTTTGCTTTTCCAGGTGATCAAAGACACCATCAAGGACTGCGTTTTGGACAGGAGGGGTAACCCACCATGTGTCCCCATCTCCCTTTGAAATAGAAATAAAATCAAAAAGGCAGTTTCTGAGAAGTGAACCTTGTGGGAAAACCTACAGTTTTTACCTGTAACTGACACATTGTTCAGCTGTTGAAGTCTTTGGATGCTTACTTACTTTCCTAATAATAGTGCAAATTTACTGGTTTCATAAAAAAAGTCCATTGACAAGCAATAATTAACGTAACCGCAAATATGTTCCACATTTTCTTTTTATTAAGTGTCATTATTTTTTCGATTAACTCATTCAGTTCTGTTCTTGCCATTTTTCTCTTAATTATAATTGCAGTCACTGGCTCCCAAAGGGATACTAAACACAAACGTTTTATGTTATTGCAAAGGTGTTACTAATCAATTAATTTATTAATACTTGAAATTACTTTAAGACTTCCAGTTGTTTGTGATGTGATATCTATTTTTTGTAAATAATTGACTGAAATAATGATTCTTGTTCTAAGACCGGTACATGAACAATATTTTTACTGAATTGAACAAACATCCCAATCCATTCTGTGAGCCACGTATATAAATCTGCTTTGCTCATAAGTTTTATGAGGATGCTTACTGGGTCAGAGAGATTTAGTGACAAGATACCTGAGACCAGGGTGTAGAAGAAGGTTAGGAAAAGATGAAGCTGCTTCAGCTATGTGGTCTAAATTTCTCATAATGACGACAGAGTTTAATGCAATGACTGCAATTACCATGTCATGGTAGCACAATTACATCTGCCAGGCCCTAACCATCGCTTTGTGTATCATTGTATCAGTTAATGCAAACATGTTTTTGCTGGAATTCAGTTGCCCACAGAGGGACTGTATCAACAGGAATCAGGAATATGTGATTCTCATGGCAAGAGATGTAGCTGTATTTACATTTACAAACTGGGTTGTACACATTTTCTTAAAAGGAACATCCCAAGGGTAAAAAATCTGGGGGGTTGGTTCTTACAGTAAAATTTGCCAGGTGGAGGGGAGGCTATTGCTTGATCTGGATTAAACTGTATTTTGGGAAATGCTTAATGTCATGCATTTACGGAGAGGGGACAGTGCTGTTGTATTGTTATGTTTTCACTTACACGTGTTAGTAAGCAGATGTGTATCTAGGAGCTATTCCTCCTGAAGTCAGTGTGTATCTTTCAACTCATGCTAGCTAGTTTTAGTCACAGTTTCTGTGACATCAGCGACGGCTCAGTGCATGTAAATACCATGGGAACCCAAGATGTAATGGTCTCCAGTGCGTGATTCATTGTCATAAAATTCTCAAAAAACTTACTGCAATATCTGTATTTATATTTGGAAGTCAATGTGACAGTTAAGCAATTTCCAGATGTGAAAAAATACACTGGCTGTATGATGAAATCTAACATGCTGAACATTGTAAGGATTTTTTTTTTGAGCTTTGCTTGCGTGACTGTTGGTTTACTCTGTGATCAGGTGCGACAGAGAAATTGTTTCACCAACACTGAGCACATTAGTGGTCAGGATGAATCACCCATCGAAAAGCAGGCTGCTGCCTTATTTGGAATGTTTCCATGCGCTACGCTACACTACATAACACAGGACATAAAACAAACCCTTACAGTAGCATGTGGTCTTGTACATGTTTGTCAATAATATAGCCACCATTATTCTTACGTTACTATCTTGGATTTACTTTCATATCAGACACATTTCACATCATCCTGTCGCATTTATGCATCTTCCAACTAACCACTACAGGACATGATATAAAATCTGCTGTTTATTACTAGTGGTATTTGAATCTAATAGTTTTGTTCTGCATTTTGCTAACATCTGTGAGGCAGAAACAGTTGACTGATTACAGGGAAATATGTTTTTAATGCTGTTACTGGTACTAGAAAAAAAATTAATGGATAAACCTTCATTGTTTCTATTTAAAAGAATCTGTTTTTTTTTCATTATTAAATGGCAGCTAATGTTGGCCATTTGGGTATAAAACATTGTGGCTAAAGTTCTAATTTTGGGAAATTGATTTTTAAAGGTTTTTTATAACAGTGCAGTTAGTCCCAAGTAAGAATTCTTTACTAAATCAGATAACAAACTTTTTATAGTCCTGTGACCTGGATCATCTTAAGGTTTTAGAAGAAAGATGGGTGGGACTTTTATTAGGGGGTGAAGTGCTGCTCTTAGACGCCCAGCGTTTGTGGTTTCCTGCTCCCATCTCTGGATGTATAGAATTTGTTCAGTGCTTGTTTGGGTTTCCTCTGGCTACTCCACTTTCCTTCTGCAATCCAAAAACGTACGGTAAGCTGAATTGCTCATAAATGTGAATAAAAGCGTGTGTATGTGTGTGCCCTGTGACAGACTGGAATCCCACCTAGGGTGTCCCCTGCCCTGTGACAGACTGGAATCCCACCTAGGGTGTCCCCTGCCCTGTGACAGACTGGAATCCCACCTAGGGTGTCCCCTGTCTTGTGTGTCTTGGGATAGACTTCACGCACACTATGATGCTGCACTGCAGTGTTTCCCAACCCGCTCCTTTGGGACCCTCAGACAGTCCACCTTTTTGGGAGCTGGGAGGAAGCAAAAACATGGACCGACTGTGGGTCCCCAAGGACCGGAAATACGGCTGTACTGAATAAGCCGTATGTAAGATATGCGTCTCTCTGTCCTTGGCTTACTTACTGCATCGACTCTGTAGCTTTTCATTTGAGCTTTTGAGGAGTATCTGACTGTGGATTGGTGAAGCGTTTGTGCATCATTCTGAACACTTCAGAATCCAAAAATGAATCAGACAACAGCCTCAAACAGTAGTTATGAAGCTGTCCAGGTATGAAGGTATTAAAATGTCCTTTAGCTGTTACTGGCTCACAGTAGTTCAGAGACCTTCTGATTAATAGTAGCTCTACTACAGTACAGAGACTTAGAGTGAGAACACTGAAGATGTATATTAAGGCAGCGATAAACACTGATCTTAATATTAATTTATAACTTGCAAGCTGTTCTCTCAGGGTGCGATGGTACTTGGTGTAGATCAACTTCTTTATATAAATCTACAAACCATACAAAACGAAGTAAAGTTTAATTTCTACTCCTGAGTTTTAGCATCACCTAGTGTTTACTATGTATACCTACAGAAAACCAGATAAATGCAGGAATTTTGTTCTCAGTTTATTCACTAAGGCTTACTTACTGTTTAGTCATCAGTATTCTTTTTGCGGACATTGACAGATTAATTAATTATGTAATTAAATTAGGGAAAAAAAATAAACTTTCTATAATCAGTCTCAATCTGTTTATCAAAATTAATTTTTATATATATATATATATATATATATATATATATATATATATATATATATATATATATATAATATATATATATATATATATATATATATATATATATAACTCTAAATCTATTGGAGAATCACCATAAAACATTAACATGTTGACATTTTGCTTTGATATTTATAGTAGTATCATGCTAAAATAAATCAATGCATCATCTGACAGTAATGCAATGTGCATTAGGATCACTGCTAAATATTTTGTGGGGGAAACATTTACACAGGCAGATTAATAATTACTCATATAGTATTTATTGAGAAGCAATTCGCCAAAGGCTATAAAGCTGCATGGGTAGGGGGCCACCTAAGTGGGCTATTTCAGCTGCATTTGTTTTTTTTTTGGAGTCTAATGAGAAATGAAAAGCAATTAATAATGATGGAACATCATTTGTACCAAAATGTACAATAATTGTGTCCATGCCCGGATGGTTCGATAACACTTGTGGCAGCGGCCGGACCATATCGCTACCCACAGCCTTGGGTAGAGAGACAGTTTTCAAAATTTTGCTTCTGACATCGCTTATTATGTGGTCACCTGCCAGCAGAGTCTTCGGTTTGATGTATTCTGTTGATTAGCTTCTTTTTCGATTGTCCGGTGCACATTCTGTTCTGATCCCATCCTTTGTGATGATGTGTCGTTATCTTTAGCGGCTTTTGATTTACTCATGGATGCTGCCGAAAGACACTCCTTATGGGCTCAGCTGCATCATGACTCACTGCCGCATGCATCTAAGCATTAGCGTCTGAGCCGGCTGTGCTAATGTCGCCAATAGCATTTGCGATGGGCTCAATGACAAGCAGCTCTTCCAGAACAATGCACCTGTTCTCCAGTTGAACTTTTGGTGATGCATGAGTGGTCCAGTGCTTCTTGTTTCTGTCCCTTCTTGTGCCCCGTACAATACTCGGCCAGAACTCAGGGTGTGGTACTGCAGGAGTGGTAGTGACAGGCTTTTGGTCTTGCTCTCCAGTTTACCCAGCACCACACATCCAGCGACGTTGTATCAGTCTCGAGCGAATTTCGATGTGTGTTCAGGCCAGACCAGGGAATAGTGACGCCGTGGCACTAATGATGTGCACATGTCACTATGTAGCTGCTCCGCAGTGTGTTTATGTCCCTGGATCTGATCGTCAGCCGGGTCCAGGACAGCAGTATGACAAGCAGCAAACAGAGTGTCGCTATGTTGCTGCTCCGCAGTGTGTTTATGTCCCTGGATCTGATCGTCAGCCGGGTCCAGGACAGCAGTAAAAACTTTTTTTTTAATGTAAATTTAATTCTTTTCAGATAAAAGGAGTAAAAATAGTAGAATGAGTAAAAGCAGTAAAATGTGGCAATACCACAGCTAAAGCAATTCAAAGTAGTTAATTTTTTTTTGTTTAATTTATGATGATAATGATTAAATGAGCAAGGATCAGAGCGTCTTCCTTGTATTTGTGCCTCCACTAAGGGAAATGGGTTTTGACAGAATGGGAACACATGACCAAAAATGGGTTATTTTTAAAAACTGCAACATAAAAAATAAAGGTACTTAAGAAACAGGTTGTAGTGTGTAATTAAAATATATTACTTGAATTAATTTTTTTTCTTGAACTCAGTATGACAACACTAGCGATTTCAACGTAAATATCAGGATCTGTTCCTGTCATGTGCCTGTGTGACCAGTAGGTGTCACTAGTCACCACATCCCTCCCTAATGTGTCGATTACTTGCACTCCATAAGCACTCATTAGTTGTGTAAACAAGTGTCTGCCTGCCTTCATCTCACTCCCCAGTCCGGTCATTAAAGTCAGTGTTAGTGTTTAATGTGTCTTGCGTTCGTGGTTTCTCCCTGCTCTCCGTAAAGACCCCATAAGAACATAAGAAATTTACAAACGAGAGGGGGCCATTCGGCCCATCAAGCTCGTTTGGGGAGAACTTAATTAATAGGACCTTGTGGTCCTTTCTGTTCCTTTGTGCTAAAAGTGCCATTATACCCCTTTTGTTTCACCTATGCCTGTGCCTGAGTTGTGCTTTCCCCTCCAACGTGACGGTAAATCACAAACAGTTCTAATACAAATTAAGCATGTAGGCCTACTTAGAAACCCTTTTTAAAACATGTCTGTATTATGGTATACAACTAATCTCTATATTTTATTATTTATTATGCATCAAGATATGTCTACTAAGACAAAGGTTTGCACAAAAAAGGAAAGGCAGCAAGATTGCAGAATAACAGATATTTAAAATAGAGACACATACAAATTATCCATGTAAGTATACAAACTGAGAGGAAAATTGAAATTTTATATGACCCCTTTTCATCATACTGCATCTGAATCACCGTTTTTGTGTCTGAATTTCCTTTTAACTTTTGTGTTGTGAAATAATCCGAATCTCCGTGCAAAAAATCAAGAGAGCTGGGATGCAAGGGGCCTGCACTGGAGAGAATGGCACGTCAACAAAGACGAGAGGGAGGAATGCATGGCAGTCCTGCTGTAGAGAGGCTGTTAGAATGGTGGGCTGCTCTGTCAGAGTGTGGCCTGACCCCTCCATCAAGGGGTCATATGGGTCTGCTAGATTCACAGCCGCTCGCACATGCGCATACCTGTCAAGTATCCCGTTTTGGCCGGGAAAGTCCCGTAATTTACCCTTCTTTCCCGCCGTCCTCCCGTATTAGTATTTTCCCGTAAATCTCCCATATTTTAACCTGCGTTATTAAAAAAAACATCCCCCCCAAAAAAATCTGAACTCTGTCACTAGCCTTGCGATAACTGCCACCTGCAGTAGCCTACTACAGGTACTACAGCTACTACAGGTACAGTACTACAGTTACTACAGCTACTACAGGTACTACAGCTACTACAGGTACTGTAGGTGCCAGTTGTCGCGAGGTTAGTGTGTGAGGTCAGATGATGAGTTGATGAGTGACGACGCGGGGAAAAAAAGAAGAAAAATCAGACAGATGATGGACGCCAGGACAGAGAAGGAAGGCACTCCTTCCAAAAGAATGCAAAGTCTGCAACAAATGAGTACAATAAGTCACTAAAAGAGTAAAGAAAAGTTATGTGAAATGAAAAGAAAAACTGTACAAAAAAGCAATATGAAATGAATGAGTGTGTGAATGTGAAAAGAATGTGGAATGAAAATGAAATGTAAAGACAAGCAATGTTAAATGAACAGAAAATATGCAAATACGCCTTTAAATAAATGCTCTTCATATATACCCTTTTGCGTTTTCATTTAGGCTATGAATGTTCACAGCATGTCAATATCAACCTGGATTAATCAGTTTGTCCAGTAATGGCAGACAGGAAACAAAGGAGCTGCCTGAAGTTCAGGAAGTAGTGCAGCTGTGCATAAAGCCAATTGTAGTTTATAAGTGGTTGACAAGTGGCGATTAGCTTTCTTGTCACCTGTCTTAAAATGTAAGGGATACTGGAGCTTGGTTGGGGTGGTGGGGTGGCTCGCGGTGGGTGCTGGGAAATTTCCCTTATTTTCAAATCCAAAACTTGACAGGTATGCATGCAGGAGGACACCCAACACGTACAATTCTTGCCCTGATTTCTTCAGAGGGACCGAGGAACCCCAAACCAGGTAAACATTCTACCCACCAGTGTGATCGCAATGGTTTTCGACTTCTTGATCTGGCTGGGTATAGGCCTCTGACCATTTCTTGCAGTAGTTCATCATGGCCAACGCTGACTACCGTGCGTAGGGCAGGGAAACGACTCCATCACGTCCACCCCAGCTTGCTGCATGGGCTCCCCCACTAACATTCGCTGTAATTGTACATGCAATTGGGCATGAGGGCCTTTACCTGCTGTACAGCTATAACAGTGCCAGCAGTAATCATCCACATGGCAACGTAATTGCAACGTAAAAACCCTGATGGATGCAACACAGTGTCTTTGTCACCCCAAAGTGGCCCGATCCTGCAGGGCCATGGATAGCACACAGTACGGCTTCATGACTTGCCGTCTTTCTTCCCAAATCACCGGTACCTTCCAGCCCCTCAGGTGAGACCCAAAACAATTTAGTACCTTTCAAAAAAAGATAACCTCGCTCATAAATTTACTTGAACTTACTCAATCATCATATTTACAGAAGTAGGGGAGACTGGGTATGGTTGTAACATGGGGAGAGTTGTAACACCACCAATTCCACCAATCAGGGGTAGGATGAGTGTCATATGATCATTACAGTGCTTAGCAACTTCCTCCCTAAACCCACATGGTGGACATCAAGGCTGGAAACTGGTACAAGCAGATTGTATAAATAAAAAACAGATTTTGAGGTAAGAAAGATTTTTTTTTGACCAGGACTATTTTTTGATTAGTATTTGTACTATTGCAGAGAAAATCATATGACTTAAATAAGATTAAAATGTAGTTTCTCAGGTAAACTCTAATGTATTTTTCCCCTGATAATTTCAAACCACTACCCTACTACATCTACAGTAGCTGAACAATAGCTAAGAGGGGTGGGGTGGATTGTAACACATCTTTAAAAAGTATTACAACCATCCCCTTACATACAACTAAGAACACTTTCTTGATTTTAATAATTTTACAGAATGCCTAGACAGTGGAAAATAAAGATTGAAAGAGGTGTGAGTGCCAGTGTTTTAAAAAAAGCATCTGATGAGGTCACAAGGAAGGGCAAGTCAGTCAGGTCAGCTGCGAAGGCACATGGGATCTGCCATGTAACACTGAGCAGATACTGCAAATCACTGCATAAGCTGAGAGACCAGGGGTCCAGTGATCTTCCCAGTGTAGGTTACCACAGCAGCAGTTTTCTCTGTGGTGCAGGAGAAGGTGCTGGCAGAATATTTGACTCAGGCAGCAGACCTGTATTATGGACTGACTCCACGTGAGGTAAGCATATGATAGGTTAGCCACTGGAGACCAGAGTAGAACTGAATCGTAGCACAGGTGCCAGATAATTGAAAAAATTCGCTGACACACAGGTGCTCACGGACACACACTGTCTTGATCGGCTGTTGTTTCTGGGCATGTGTTGTAATGCTGGTTGTGTGTGCTGTTCAACAACATTTAACGTTTGATGGTCGTTGTGATTAGTACAGATGTTGTATGTTGTCTTTCTCTTTTCAGCAGACATGGAAGCAGATTATCTGTTTTGTTTTTTTCTTGGTTTTTTTTGTTTTTCTTTTGTTTTTTTTTTTTTTTTTTTTTTTTTTTTTTTTTTTTTTTTTTTTTTCCTTTTCTCTTTCCCCCCTTTTCCTTTTTCCC